ATTATGCAGCCCATTAAGGAGCTAAAAATGTGTCACATTTCACACAGGCTGGGCCCAGAGCCACATTACATAAAAATGCTTCAATATATAAGCCCATTAAGCTCTCATATTCATGATTGAAGTTATTCTAACACTGTTGTTCCATTTTACAAAGGAGGAAACTGAGGTTTAGAAAGCTTAAGGGACTTGCTAACTGCTACCTGACTAAGAAGTGAGAGCTGAGGTTTGAGTGCATGCCCATCCAATGGGCTCTCTTCTCTGAGATGCAGCTCACTTTCCCAGTTGCCTTCTGGAACTTTCACATATGAGCTCTTGCATCACTGGTGTGGAGCTCGTACTTACCTCCTTTGGTGCTGACCTACAAAGCCCCACACCCTCACCCAGATTCACTGCTGGCACTGGAAGCTTCCACAAGGCTGAACCATTGCCTGCATCCTTTGGCTTGAGGCCCCATAAAGGCCCAAGAGAATGCGGAAGAGTTTTGCTCTGCCTGCCCCAGGGCTCAGCTGGACCCTCCATGTTGCTTGCAGACCCAGATCAGGGCTTGGGTCTCCAGCACATTCCCTCCTTTTTCATCCTCCCCCAAGTTCCCAGTTAAATCCAGCCATGCTATCTATCCAAATAGGAAAGCAAAAGATGCTGTGGTGCTCCATGTCCCCCTAAAAAGTGCAGCTCTGATGGCCTGCTGGGGTCCTTCGGGCTTTCCACCCACCTCTCTGAATGCTTCCTATGCCTCCTTAGCCAGCTTCCTACTCCTGTCTTACCTCAGGATGCCCCCAAAGACAGCCCTTCTCAGGCCGCAGGCGCTTATCCTTAGGGCCCTGGACTTTTGTCTACATCTTCTTGCCTGCCCTCCATGTCTTACCATTCCTAAATTCCTGTTGGGAATTCCAAGTTCTGTTACCAAAAGAAGAGATTAAAAAAAAATTTCTCTGAGAGCCCGGGCTTGGTCCCCAGGCTGGCCCTCTCTCAGCTCAGGCTCACTTAAGTCTGCTGTATAGAAAGGGACACCACCAGCAGCTCCCCACCCCTCCTGTCATCTTCCCTCAGACACCCCAGGGAAGCTCAGCGCCAAAGGCCAGCAACTCCCTCTTCCTTCTACCTGGGGTGAGGAGGCTGTGGCTGCTCCTTGGTAACCAACGGTGACTAAGTCCATGGGGGGGGGGGGCTGACCTGCAGCAATGCCCTCAGTTGGGGGTTGGGGACAGCTTTTCCAAGAGGACTGGGGACTAAAGTCCACCACAACCTGACATCTGCTCTTTCCCCTTTCTCTTCCCAGGTCCCCCGCTCTGAACTCTAGGCCTCAGAGTCAGTTTACAGATAGCGACTTGATGGGACCGGGAGGCAGGGGCCCACCTGCAGAAGGCAGGGGTTAGCTGGGAGCCTCAGGTAGCTGCAGATGGTCTCTCCCATCACAGGGCTAAGGTGATGGCCACAGGACCACCGACCTGTGGGGATTGCAGGTGCTGGTGGGGCTTTGGGGCTTGACCAGCGTGAGTGGGGCTGGTCAGGGAGACCAGGGTGGAGTGTCCCCTTTCCAAAAGGCCTCACCTCCTCCAGGGACCCAGGGCTTGCCTTCACAGGCCCACAACGGTGTTGGTTGTTAGGGACGCTCGCGTCGCCAGGGGGCGGGCCGTGAACCCTCTGGTCCAGGACGTTGGCGGCAGTTGCCCTGCAGAATCCGCTGCGTGGCTGGTGGGAATTCTGTGGCCTTGGGTTACGCTCGAGCTTCTGATTTAGGAATGGGAGGGTTGTTCGTGTGGAGAGGGCGTACTTCTGTGCAGAAAGGACTAGAGGTGGGGGAGGGGAGAAGGCCCCAGAAAAGTAAGGTGGCAGGGGAGGAGAAGGACTTCCTCCAGGCACTTAAGTCGCGGGAACTCCACTAAAGCCAAGCTGCTGACCCCAACCCCTGCAGGACGACCCCTTCCACTTTCCTCCACGATACCAACCAAGCATCAGGAGGAGGAAGGGTCTGGACCTCCCTCCACAGTGCTCCTTCATACAGCCCGGTGCCTGGTGCCAACCCCACTTCCAACTCTAGCCTGACAGGATGGGATTGCTGTCCTGACCTCCTGGTAGGCAGGAGGGACAGATTCCTGGGAGCTGGCTATAGTAAGAAATAATTGCCTTCAGTGGTGGTGCAGGCCTTTAATTTCAGCACTCAGGAGGTAGAGGCAGGAATGTCTGAGTCCGAGGCCTGCCTGGTCTGTACAGCACCGCCAGCGAGAGCTACATAGTGAAACCCTGTAAAAAAAACAACAAAAAAGTTCTCCTGAGTGGTGGAGGGTTCTCAGGAAGACAAAGCTTAGCTTCAAGCTGGCTGCTTTGATCAGTTAACATCTCAGATGCCTCTGTTGGCACCTCAGTTAGCTTAGTGGCCACGGAGGAGCTGGGCCTGTGGTAAACACCACAGAATGGCCTACTACCAAGTTCCAGAGGTCAAGTTTATGCAGTCAGTGACCAGGTTCATGACTCCAGGTCCTTTCAAACCCTCACAAATGTTAGGAATTATCACTGATTTCAAATTCAGTATGTGGTAAAGGGTGACCTTCAACTTCTGACCTCTTGCCTCCACCCCTCCAGGGTACACCACTCTGATGGGCTTATGTGGAACTATGGATCAGGGCTTAGTGCATGCTGGGCACTCTGTCACCAAAGCTACACCCTCAGCCCAAATTATCACCTTAGTCACAGTGAGAAGCCATGACACCAGGCAGACCCACTTTGTTTTTTCTTACTAGACATCATCAGAACCTGATGCCCTGAAGATGTGCACCCCCCACTTCCTAGGCCCTTTCCTTCATTTAGCAACAAGATCTGGGGACAGGGTAGCACTCTAGCTAAGTGGTTTTGTTCTGGCAGGGTTTTGTTCTTAGCTTCATTCTGCTCCAAGTGACAGATTTCAACTTCAGCTGCTTGTGTGTGTATAGATGTGTTTGTGTGCACATGTGTGAATACAATGTGGAGGCCAGAGATCAACCTCAGGTGGTATTCCTGAGGTGCTCTACTTTGAGTTAGGGTCTCTCACTGGCTTGGAGCTCAGTGAGTAGACTAGGCTAGATGGCTAGTGAGACCCAGCAAACTGTTTCTGCTGCCCTCCACTGGGATTCTAAGTGCACACGATCACACTTGTTTTTGAAATAGGTTCTCCCTTGTAGTCCCAACTGGCCTGGAACTCACTATGCAGACCAAACTGGCCTCCATCTCTCAAAGATCTGCCTATCTCTGCCTCTTGAGTGCTGGCATTAAAGATGAGTGCCACCATGCCTGATGACACTGGGCTTTTTTAATGTGGGTTCTGGGACTTGAACTCAGGTTCTCATGCTTGCAAGGCAAGCACTGACTGAGCTATCTTCTCAGTCCCAGCTTCAGCTTATTTCTGCTTTAGCTTAGCCTTGGGGCAGGTGCTGTGTAATTTATTTTCAAAAGCCTACTGGGGGCTGGAGAGATGGCTCAGAGGTTAAGAGCACTGGCTGCTCTTGCAGAAGATCAGGATTTGGTTCCCAGCACCCACATGACAGCTAACAACCGTTTGTAACTCCAGTTCCAGGTGCTCTGATGCCCTCCTGTGACATCTGCGGGCATTGCACTTACCTACATGCAGGCAATACACTCATACACATAAAACAAAAATATTTTAAAATTTTTTACTTTATGTGTATGTGTGTACTGCTTGCATGTAGGTAAGTGCATCCGTGTCGTGCAGTGCCCATGGAGGACAGAAGAGGCTGTTGGATCCCCTGGAACTGGAGTTATGGACAGTTGTTAGCTGCCATGTGGGTGCTGGGATTCGAACCCAGGTCTTCTGCAAGAATAACCAGCGTTCTTAACCACTGAGCCACCTCTCCAGCCCCCAAAATAATATTTTAAACAAAAGCCTGTTACTGGTCTGACCCTGCAGGCTTTCTGACTCCTTCCTCACAGTCTGGGTGCCGTCCCATCAGCCCTAACACCTTCCTCTTAGATGTCCTCAAGACTCACACTCTTACCTCCCATCAGATGCCTTCAAAGTGACACCACTCCCGCCTTTCTCAGCCCCATTTTTTCCATGACCCCCCCACCCCATCAGAAGCAGGTTCCACATGGGCAGAAGCTCTTTAATCTGGTGCTTTTCATAGTCTTGGTGGCTGATCAGGCCCTGTTACTCAGTGTATCTGCAGGTCAGCCTGGCCTTGATACAGACAAGTCACTAACAGACAAGTGACACCAGGAAGGTGTTCCCTGCTGTTGTGATTTTCACATGATACTTCTGAGTTTTGGTAGCTAGGGATCCTTCTTGGTGCCTCGCCAAGCCTGGCCCACAGAACCCAGCTGAACACTCTGGCAACAGGATGGTCCGGATTTGGATTCTGGGTGACTTTCCATCAGGGTGGTGGGTTAGACTAGTGATGGGGTACCCATGCCCTACCAAGGGAGTAATGGCCACTTATTTTATTATCTTAATTTTACTTTATGAGTGTACTGCCTGCATGTATATAAGTGCACTTGTGTTGTGAAATGCCCATGGAGGTCAGAAGAGGGTGTCTAATACCCTGGAACTGGAGTTACAGATGTTGTTAGCTCCCATGTGTGTGCTGGGGAACCACATCCAGGTCCTGTGCAGGAGCAGCCAGTGCTCTTAACTGCTGAGCCACCTCTCCAGCCTTTTTTTTTTGGTCTTTTTGAGACAGGGTCTCCCTATAGCCCCAGCTGTCCTGGAACTCACTATGTAGACCAGGCTGGCCTTGAACACACAGAGATCTGCCTGCCTTTGCCTCCTGAGTGCTGGGATCAAAGGCGTGCGCCACCACGCCCGGCTGCCTCTTATGTTTTTAAGGATTAAAAGTGTGTGTGTGCACTCGTGCACCTGACATGGGTGTTGAGAACTAAACTTGGGCCTCTGGAAGAACAGCAAGCACTCTTAACTGCTGAACCTCTCTAGCCTCATCATCCACTCTTTTTTTCTTTTTTTTTTTTTTGGTTTTTCATCCACTCTTTTAAGCAGCAGAATCCTCCAGAACTCCCAATCCTATGACACAGTTTTAATGAGTGATCACTGCATCAACAGCCAAGTCTTCACATTTGTTGGGGTTGGTGCATCTCAGTCCACTTCTGCTTCTCCTAGTCTCCTTGCGTCACATGGCCCAGGTGGCCATCTTTGGCTCAGCCACTCCAGCCTCTGGTTCATTGCTTCAGCCTCCAGGAAGGCTCTGTGGCTCCAGGTGCTTGCCTCTTGTTCACTTGGGTCCTGGGTGGGCCTAGTCAGAGCTGGCTGAGGGCATAAGTGCGGGCTGTCCTGAGGGCAGCTTCCAGGTCAGCAGTGTTTCCGGTGCCCTGAGCCACCACTTGAGTACCCCAGGCCTTGCCCCCCATGTGGCTGCACACAGCCAGTGCCCAAGCCTTTGCTGTGAAGGTGGGCGTGGCACCCTGGGGAGAGAATCAGAAGGAGAAGCCATGTAGAGCAGCTCTCTCTGCTGCCATCCACTCAGTGGACCCTCAGGAGTGGAGCCATTGGCAGTAAGCACCTGCTCCCCAGCTGGGCCCAAGGCGGTGGCAGGAAAAGATGGACTAGGAGAATGTGTGGAGGGGGTGAGCACCTGTGACTTGTTTGCAAAAGAAGTGAGGCCTGGGAGGTGGGTGACTAGGGAATCTCAGTGCCTTCTGGGAAGGGGAGGAGCCATCTTTGGGGATAAGGAGATTGTTCTATTCTTGTGATAGGTCACCTCCCTCTGCCCTGGCTCCCCCATTTGGCAGAACCAGAGCTGGTCAGGGGTCATCTGGGGTGGGCTTGTGGAACTCCTCACCTGGGCAACCTGGCAGGCACACAGGACACTGCCTGTGGGCTGGGGGCTGAGCAGGAGCACGGATATGCTGGGGGCCTGCTCACACAGCTGTCGGACGACCTTTACCAGCACCTGCATGAGGACATGGTGACTCACAGATTTCCAGATGTCCAGGACCTCGCAGGCAGCACTCAGCCTTTGCAGCCCCCTAGACAGCACTCACTGAGAGGGACTCGGCAGAGACAGTGTCCACTATCAGAGGCCCCTTCGAGTGCCGCTTCAGCAGCTCCTGGGATTTCTCTGCAGCCTGTGAGGCAGAAGGACGGCAGAAGGGTCAGGCTGAAGGGCAGATAACCTATTAGTCTCCTCTTGTAAACTAGCAGCCCTGCCCCCACCTGTGTCCTCCCTCAGCAAAGGCCATCAGTTCTGAGGAGAGCTGGCAGGGCTCTGCCTAGTATGACCTGCTTTCTTGGCTTCCATCTGTGACCTGTGCCTGTCTCATTCACCTCTTCCATTTGGTCATAGCTTGAGGCCCCACAGGAAGGTTGCTGAAGGTGAGGAGGAAGCGAGCACAGATGGACTGGGAGGGGACTAGGGGATAGTTAAGGAGCAATTAGGGCTGAAGTGGAAAGGGTTGGGGGAGAGCTACAGCCGGCAGAGAGGTGGGGAGCAGCCTGGTGATGTGGCTCCTGGTAACAGATGAAGGAGGAAGCTGCCACCTACTCCTACTCCTGCCCAATTTTGGAGGCTTCCTAGGGTTAGTGCTGTGGTTTGCATGAGTACCTGGGCACGGCAGCACCTCCTCTCACCTGGCCCTTCTCCATCTTCCGGATGGCAGTGTTGGCTCGGCGCTGCAGTGTCTTTAGTGTGGTTTGCAGCTCCCGCCTCTGCCACTGTGGCATCACGGTGGTATCTATGACCTGTGGCCAGAGCACTGTATCACCCTTGCCCTCTGAGCTACAGCCTCAGAGCAGAGACTGACTGGGCCAGGGCAGACACTACACCCACCCTGCAGACAAGCACCTGGGCCAGTTCAAAGGCTGGGGAGGGATTGGAAGGTCCTAGGGATATGTAGAAGGAACAGGGCCATTAGAGGGTGGGGATTCCCCATGATGAGGGTGGTCCTGACCTCAGTGAGGCGTCCTATGTCCTTGGATAGCCGGTGAGCCGCCACTAGGTCCTGGCTGCCCCGACTCAGCCGCTCCTTGGCCGCTTCCACCTCCTGAACCAGGCTCTGGCCTACCTCTCGGGCCTGTGGGGTTACATTCAGGATACTGAGGGCTGCCAGGCTTGCATTCACCCTCCTGGGGACAAGGTCTTCCATCTCACTGCTTTCAGGGTCAAATTAAAAATATTTACGAGTCTGGACCAGTCAAGGTACCAGCCCTAAATTAACAGCTGCCAGTTGCCAGCCGTTACTATAGCCACAGCAGTGTGCCTGTACCACACTGGCTCTGCCCCTGGGCACTCCTGAGTCTGGGTATTGGCTGTGTGTCGCCTCAGCCATCCACAGCCAGAAATTTCTAGGGCTTCTGGCATGCTGACCTGTTGGGCCCGCTCCCCAGTGATGGCCAGCAGACGGGTGGTGCCCTTGACCAACTGGCGCTCCCCGATGATCACCAGGTCCCCCACAGCTCCTGTGCGTAGCAGGTGCCTGTGGGAAGGTGGAGAAAGCAGGAATGATGGGAGAGAAGGGAAAAGCCTGAGCTCAAAGCAAGGAAGGGCTGGTGTCTACAAAGACCAAAGAAGGCTGAGGATCCAGGGGTCAGGGTGGCAAGAAATTACTCACGTCCCACAGCAAAGCTCCACTGAGGTCTGCAGTGCAGCCTGGGAGGCTGCTGCCAGTGCATGGGCCACAGGCACCCCCACCGACACCACCCGCACGGGGTCTGGGTACACCTGAGGGAAAGGTGGGGCAAAGGCTGTTAGCTATCTACGGAGGACAGGGGAAGCCATCTGGGTTCGTTCCTGTCCAACTCACCTCTTCCAGTGAGCGCAGGCCAGGGATATGTGCAGTGTGTGCCAGGGGTACCTCCTCCATGTACACAGCTTTATCCTGCCCCACAGCCTCCTGCACAGTGCTCTCTACTGCCTGGAGCTGCTCTGTGGTCAGTGGGGTCTGAGAGGTGGGAACAGAGCAAGAGGCTTCAGTCTAGTACCTATAACTGATCATCAAGGGGTAGGTAGCTGATGTCCTCAGAGCTATCCCCAGGTTATAGCAGTGGCCAGAACAGACTAGGTACTCAATAAACATTGGTGGAGCAGACAAAAATTTTCCCTTAGAAAAATACCTGGGAACTGTCCTCTCACTGGGCAGAAAAAGTTGATGGGAAAAACAAACAGAAAAAGAGAACTCTGACCTTATAAAGCATATTGTCAGAGACAGCCAATAGGAGAGAGAGAAACGGGATTGGGGAAGAACTGTAGAAAAATGAAGGGGCAGGCAGGGCCAGGACCTGTCAGCAAGCACTTCCTGGGGAAGGATTTGAGCAGGTGTGCAAGGGAGGGGGTCAGGGCAGCAAACAGGATAGAGGCAGCCTATTGGAGCAAGAGCAGCTTGGGTGATAAGGAAGGTAGGTGCCTGGAGGTGAAGGCAGCGCCTTGCTAGAGGGCCTTCAGAGTCCTCCATTGGAACAGGAGGGGTTCCACTGTCCAGTCTGGCCCCTGCACTGGCAGAAGGCTGAGGGGAGGCAACTTGCCAAGGTTCCGCAGGACAGAATGGTGGTGCTGGCTCATAGCCCAGGTCTTCAGGCTAGTCAACCCCGCTCCACAGCAGCCTGTCTGTCTTGGAGCACGTTACCTCCCAATAGAGGCTGTCTTTCTATGTCTGGCTCACCTGGGTGGCCACATCAAAGCGCAGCCGCTCTGGATTAAGATGGGCGCCTCGCTGCTCTGTGGTGGGTCCCAGGGTCTGCCGTAGTGCCCAGTTTAGCAGGTGGGTGGCTGTATGCTTCTCCATACAGCCCAGTCGCCAGGCCTGGAACACTTTTGTCACCCAGGGTCCTGGGTGAGGGCAGGGGTTGGGAGGGAAAGGGGCTGCAGGATATCAATAGCCAGGATAGGGGCCCTTACCTTATCCACATACAGTTGCACCTGGTCTCCCACCTGTAGGCACTCAGGGGCCACCACCTCATGCAGAATGAAGCCCCCACAGACCTGGGCCTGGGCCACGGGGAACAGCACATCCTGGGGAAAACAGGGCCAAGATGCCGGAGTGACCACCTGCAGTCACCCCTTCCCCGGGGCTGTCATCCAGCTTCAAATCTGCCTCCCAAAGTTAGCTTGGGGTGCTGGCTGCTCACCTGCTGCCCTGCCCGTATCAGGTAGCCACGGTCTGAAGCCTGACCACCCTGTTCAGCATAGAAGTTGGTCCTGTCCAAGAGGAGGCCACAGCGCTGGCCTGCCCCCACGGAGGCTATGGCTGTCCCATTCTCTGAATACAGCTGCAGTACCTGGGCCTCACAGAGGCTGAACTCTGCCAGGGAAGGATTATCAGTGCGAGTTAGGTGCTGGGGACTTGAGGCCAAAGGCACTTGGCTTGGGAAGGTAGAAGGGGGACCGGGGATGGGGTGGGTGGGGGGATTGGGGAGTACATGGTTCCTGATAAAAGAAGTGGCGACCCCTGCTGGCTACTCGCTGGTAGCCACTATTTTTCTCCTTCCTGGTCAAGGTCAGGAAAACTTACAGTCATCAGCCTGGCTCTAGGCTCTCACCATAATCCCCATTGGGTTGCAGAGAGTAGTTGTACTTGGGGCTATCATCAGTGGGGGGCACCCCTCGGCGCTGCAGCTCCCCCAGTGCGTGGACATCAAGGCGCAGTCGCTCCTCCTGAACTGGCTCAGCCTGCTGGGCCCGGTGCTGCAGGACAGGTGTGTGGGACAGGTGCACAGAGAATGCCAGGGGATGAGACCCTAGCCTTGCAGAGCTTCATCTCTGTGGATCTTGCAGCCTGCCTGGAATAAGATCTTAGGGCTTTGTTGGTTTCTAGAGGGATGGAACCTGGATATCAGGTGGCCCAGACATCACACAGGCTCCTCAGGGTCAGGTCTCCCTGCACTCAGCCACCCCTTTTCTCCTGTTTAGTCACTGGGGCCGGTATTCCTTTCTGTAGACTCTGAGTAGGGCCTGAGGTTCTATCTCATCATCGCTATGGGTGAGTGGACAGACCCCATGTCAGCTTCCAATTCTTTGACTAGCTACAGTTCTTGTTCCAGGAGCTCAGGACTGAGAAAGGAATTTCTGAGTCTCCACAGAGCCCAGCAGGACATCCCCAGTCTGTACCTGAGCCTCCTCCTGGGCTAGTCGTTCCAGTCCTGCAGAGTCCAACTTCACCCCCTTCTCCTCCAGCATTAGCTCTACCAGGTCCAGAGGAAGCCCCAGGTTTCCAGATAGTGACAACGTCCAGGCCACTTCAGCTTTGAGGAAAGAGGACAGAGAGTACTGAGGAAGGGAGAGGCAGATCAAAGGAAGGGGAGGGAAGTGTATGGGCTCGGGCTTTTCCAGTCACACAGAATCCACCAGATGACAAACACAGGTGCCCTCTCCCCATAGCGGGTACTCCAGGTGAAGAGCCCCCGTTAGGCTTCAGGCTCCAAGATCAGAACTAGGGGAAGCCCAGCATACTCCCAGGGTGCATGGCTTCTTGGTGGTCTCAGTGGAGGCATGAGTTGACCTTAGAAAGCAGGGAGAGGATGTGGGGCTGGCTGGGCTGTTAGGAGAGACAGTGGCAGGGTAGGGCTCCTGTGGTAGTCAGGTCTGGGTGCTAAAATGGGAGCACCTGGGAGGAATTTCTGGTGGAAGTGAGGAGGGCTGTAGGGTGGGGAGGTGGGTACGAGGCTCCTGGCTGGTCCAGGGCCCCCTCTGCCTAGCCTGTGTGTCTGAGGCCCTCTTGCCTTGACTAGCCCCGCTACTCACCAGGGAACAAATCAGAAGGCCCCAGGTGCCTCAGGGTGCGATCGATGATCCGCCGGCCCCGCTGCAGGGATGCTAGGAAGGCTGCCTCGTCCTCTGACACCAGACTGGCTATCTGAATGAGGGCAAGTTAGGAGTGGAGCTGGATCTCCTAGGGGAAGGGCTTCTCTCCACAGCTTGCCTGGAAGCCCCTGCCTCCCTACCCGAATCAGTACCTGGGATGAGTTCTTCTGCAGTTCTGGATAGGTGGCTCCCTAGAGATGGTGGAGAGTGTAAAGGAGGCGTGACAGACAAACAGTCTACCCAAGATCCCCACCCTGGCATCAAGGGACACCTGCCTGGGAGGCAGATGCTCTGAGAACTGGGGAGGGTCCTAAATAAGAAAACTGTTTCCCAGGGAGTCAGGGATACAAGTGGAAGGGAACCCCAAGGTCAAATGCTCAGCATCTGGGGTGAGGGGCTCCCTGCTTCTTGGGATTAAGTCCAGCTTTCTTAGCCTCCAGATGGGGTGCTGGGCTGGACACTGAGGGTGGGATACTGTCAGGGATTAGTGGAAGGCTCCCAAGGGCCCTGGGAAGCCTATAGAGGGGAGGAAACTGTTCTTACCAGCATCTCCACCACCACCGGCACCAGGCTGCCTAGAAAGCCAGGGGGCGCCTGCAGGATCTCGGTGGAGAAGCGCACAGCTCGACGGAGAATTCGACGAAGAACCAGCCTAGAGGGGTTCAGAGCCCAGGTTTGAACCCTCAGCATCATCTGGCCAGCAAAAATGGGGAGCGGGGTTCTTCCCCTGTTCCTCCTGAGCTCTTGAACTCACTTACCTCTCCATTCCCTCCCTCCTTGTCCTGCAAACCATGGAGCCCCTGCCCTTCACTGGGACCCTTCGAGACTCACGGGGCACCTGACATTCCAGGGGTGACACCATCAGCGATGCAGACACTGAGCGTGCGGATGTGGTCAGCTACTACGCGGTATGCTGTGTCTATGTGTCCCTCATCTGCAGCTCCTATCCGGCCAGAGTAAGGGGGTACTCCACATCCCTGGAAAGCAGAACAGACACACCTGTGGGCTCTACCTGACCTAGCACAGACAGTTCTCAGCCTTAAAGCTTAAAGACCACCTCCAGAATGGTCTTCTGGAAAAGGTACTGGAAGAATGGGGGCTGGTTTGGGCCCTCACAAGACTTGTGATCAGCACTGACAAGGCCTATAGTGGAGATCACCTGCTGAATTTCCATTGTCAGAATAGAAAGGGCATCCCTTCCATCTTTAAAATAGCCCCTCTAGGAAGCACAGTTACTATTGCTTTATTTATATTTATATTTAATTATTTTTAGACAGAGTCTCACTATGTAGCCCTGACTGGCCTGGAACTCACTATACAGACCAAGTTGGCCTCAAAAACACAGAAATCCACCTGCACATGCTGGACTCAACCTTGCTTTAAAGAGGAAAATGGACTGGGAATGTGCCTCAGTTGGTAGAGTACTTGCCTAGCATGCACGTACCCCTGGGTTCAACCTCCCAGGACCACATCAAACCAGGCATAGTGACATAAGCCTGTAATCCCAGCATTTGAGAGGTAGAAGCAGGAGGATCAGTGGTTTAAGGCTATCCTTGGCTACCTAGCCAGTTCAAGGCTAGCCTAGGATACATGAGACCATGTCTGAAAAAGAGTTAAGTGAGTTCACATAGTTCTTTAGAAGGCGATGTGACATCTCAACCTGTCTGGCCTGACTCCCTATTGCCTCTCCAGTCCTCCTAGAGATAGGGCCAGGAGAAGGGGGCAGAGGCCAAACTGACGTGCCTACGAGTGCTCTACAGCAGACTGATTAGTCAGCCCAGCTCAAACCCACTCTAACCCAGACGTCCCCACAGACCACCACTCTCTGTGCTATTCAAGTCACTCCCCAATCCCACCCATTAATAGGTCTTTTCCCTTTACGGCTGTGAGATCTCTCAAATCTCTCTGTGCCTATTGCCTACTCACTGCCAACACCTAACCCAAACACCCCTAGTCTCTTGCTGGACTGATAACTGCATTCCAGCAGCTTTGTGGCTCTGTCAACTTGCTCCAGCTCATCCCCCACACAGCAATGGGAAGTGGCTTTGCTGAAATGCATGGCAGACTCTGCCCTTCCCCTCAGATTCATTCTCCTCATGCACAGAATAGAAGCCTTACTTTGGACTTCGAGGCCCCACAAGATGTGATGCCTGTTTTCTTCTCTGTGGTAGACTGTAAAAATCTACTTTGTGGTGGGACTTTACAGCTGCTTCCCATCAACAGAGAGCCTCTATTTCTCTGTCCCCTGAGCCGGGGATTGGCCTGTGACTTTCTCTGGCCAACAGAATATAGGAGAAGGTAAACTGGGTTTGATGGTGCACACCAGTAATCCCAGCACTTAGGGGGTGGAAGCAGGAGGATAAAGAGTTCAAGGACATCTACAGCTACATAGAATCTGAGGCCAACTTGGGATGCGTGAGACACTGTCTCAAAAAAACGAAGAATATAAGGGAAGGGGCAGTTCTGCTTCTGCTTTCCTCCTAGGAACCTTGCTGAGCAGGGATGTGAACACACCTGGACTAGCCAGCGAGCTAGATGACAGTAGACACATGGCCCAGTCACACCATTGCCTTAAACTGACAGCCAGCCAACTCCTAGAAGCAGAGCTGCCTCAGAGCCAACCCACACGTTTGGGTGAGCTCACTCAAGACCAAAAGAGCGACCTAGGAAGGTGGCCTGCACTGCTGCCCAGACCCCTGAACTGGATGGCAGCTGCTGCCTCAGCGTTTGTGTATTATGGAGGTTATCTGGCATGGATTCCAGCCATATCTCATGGGATTCCATCTCAGCAGCCTGGTTGCCTCTTTTTTCTTTCATGAAAGATAGAAACTATTAAGGGGACATGGAAGAGAAAGAAGCCCCTCACCCTGGAATCTGGTTTGCATTTCCTGTTGGCTGAGGGTCAAGAAACGTCAACATAACTGACAACATCCAAGCTGCCTAGAGAAACAGTGCTTGCCTTTCTAGAGATTTCTCAAACTATGGCAGTTAAAAACAACAAACTCACCAGGCATGGTAGAGCATGCCTTTCATCCCAGCACTCAAAGAGGCACTTGGATTTCTGTGAGATCAAGGCCAGCCTGGTCTACATAGTGAGTTCCAGGCCAGCTGGAGCTATAGGGAGACCCTGTCTCAACAAAACAAACAAAAACAGCAACAAACTGCTTACTCAGGGCCAGAATGTTTGTGGCCTTGAATTTTACTATATTAACACCTCTTATCTCTAAATCTAAACAAGGCACTTCATAAAACCACCTTATAACTTCATTTGTAAAAGGAAATTCTTTAAGAAAAATAAGTGCCTAGACAAGGTGGTATATGCCTTTAATCCCAGAAACAGAGATAGACTGATGTCTGTGAGTTCAAGGCTAGCCTTGTCTACATAGTGACTTCTAGGTGAGACAGGGCAGTGAGATCCTGTCTTAAAAAAAGAGTTCATATTTTAAAAAATTTAAACTTAATCTTTGCTTGGTCTTTAAACATTGCTGAAAATGACACCTTTGAGCAAAATAACTTAGAAAGTCACAGAATCACATCTATAGTCACCGTAAAGACACCAAAACTCCTGCATATACTGTCTTTTTCTTCTGTCTCTGTCTACTTAATAAACTCTCTTTGCTTCACTGTGACCTGCCCTGGAATTCTTTTCTGTAATGTAGTCAAGGATCCTGCTTTGCCTGCGTGAAGGTTCCCAAGCAGGCAGTGCTGGACTGTGCCTCCCCGCCACCGCTAACAATGACACGAGTCAAGCCCTTTCTGTCTTGGTGCCATCTGTGCCCTCTGCCTGCAGTGAGCTTCCCAAGCTGACTCTTCTTTCAGGTTTTAGCTCAAAGGTCATCTCTCTGGCAAGCCTTCCTAACACACCTTGTCTAAGATTCCTCTATATCCCCCTTCATGATGTTGGCTGCCTATTCACAACCTGTGAGTTATGCTCCTGTCCTGTCATCATACACTGATGAATTGACTGTCTCTCACACTTGAAGGCGATCTCTATACCAAGCATACAATGTTAGGTTTGGGACTAGCAGCTAACCAATCACACCCACCTGCAGTAGCCTTTTTCTTACTGTCTGTGAATCTTTAACTCTCCTAGCAGACTCCCCAGGTGCCAGGAGAACAGCAGGCACCATTCGTACTTCCCAGAGGAAATTTATAGGCTCAGGATACCAGAAAGTAGGATATCAGAGGGCTACTGGCATAATGCGTACAACTCAAGCAGATGTGGCCTTCCTTCCCCCACATTCTCATAGTCACACAAGGAGCTGCATGAAACCACCTTGTAGACATCAACCACAAGGAACAAAAACCTCCCCCTTCCTCTGAGACTTATAAAGGATCCCCACTCAGCTTCGTGGGCCTGAACTCTCTTCGAAGCCCTGCCATGCTGCTATCTTTCTGTCCGTGGAGTTAATAACTCTTTAAATAAATCTCTTACCCCAAAGGACAATCCTCCTCAGTGTCCCCCTTGGACCCCAAAACCAAAACCTTTCATAAAGGACGAACACACTTTTTGAATGAATGAGAGGAGGAGCTAGGAGCAACACCAGATTAACATGAATCCCAGTCTCATGCTTGATACCCTGCAATCCTTGGCCAGTACTATCCTTACATGCTGGAAATATTCTTAGTTCTCAACAAACATAACAAGCAGTGGGGGAGGGGGAGGGACTGGGGAGATGGCTCAGTTTTGGTAAGCTTGTCTCACAAGCATGAGGACCCGAGTTTGATCCCTAGAACCCATGTAAAAATGCCAGCATAACAGCTCTTGATTGCCTCCCAGAAAGTCAAGGTAAGACCGTATTGCTGAAGACAGGATACACTTCAGGCATAGGACTTGGAACAGTTGTACTGAAACCAGGAAGCCTCCTCCCTGGAGACTAGCTCTCATAGTATCAGAAGATACTATGCAAACTGCCAAGGGAGAAACCAATCAATGATTCTATCTGGCTGAAAAGTCCATGAACCACAACAGTGACCTGCCCAGCAAATAATTTCTACTGGTACAGTAGTGGCACTTTTATATTGGGGGTAATCAATAGTTCTCTAATTAGACTTAAGGTCCACTCAATGGGAGGAAACTCATGTGTGGTACTGTAAACAGAACCAAATATACATAGATGGAGAAGTCATAGATCTTAGAGAAAAACCTGCTTTTGTCACACTCCTAGACCAGCATAATTTCTTACTGTGTTCTAACTACATGTCCTTATATTTACAGACAAGTGTAGCTCTCACCACTCATCAAAGAAGCTTCTTTTTGCAACAAATGGAGACTATTACAAAGTTCCACAATTGGTCAAATGCAGAGAATAAGTGTTTGTGAGGCACCAAGCCCTAAGTCACACATCTACAATGCAACCTCTGTACCTAAGTCACATATCTACAATGCAACTTCTACACCTAGGCTCAGGGAACCTAGTGGAACAGGGGGCAGAGAGACTATTAAAGCATCTCTCAACTCTCACTTTTGCAAAACTTCCTCATGCAACAGATGGTGATTAACCCCCAGAAAGCCACAACTTTCCAAAATGCAGAGAATAAGAGACTACAGAGAACTAATTCTTGAATAGGACACTATATCAAATCTCTGCCACCCAAGGCTCAGAGACCACTGTGCAAGTAGGGGCAGAAAGGTTGTAAGACCCAGAAGTGGCTGATGACCACAAGAAAACAGAATTTTCCACACAGCTGGGAAGTTACTTGTATGAACTTAGAGCAATGACAACGGCACGTACAAGACCCATGCAAGCTCAAACCAGACAAAATTCCAGCACAGAAGTAGGGAGTGGTGAGAAGTCCAACCTTAGCTGAGGAACTATTGGCAACTGGGAGAGAGAGACAGTTGGTTTTATTTAAGTGTATGATGCTATACAGGTTAATCAGGCTCCAGTGGATGGACGCATACTGAAGGACACTAGGGGACTCATATTTGGTGTGATAGGCCTTAATATATATGAGAGAATACATGAAAACTGGTGGGGGTGGATAAAAGGGATACAGATAGGGGAGGGGACCTAAATATGATAAAAATATATCATATGAAACTCACAAAAATTCAATAACAAAATAACAAAATAAAAAAAGGTTCGCCATTTATCATATCTTATGCTATACATGATTGATCTTATGTATGATTAAAATCAGATGCATCATGACAAAGGACAGGTGATAGAAAAAAAGCTTACAGAATACAAATCTGTCAAAACAGAATCACCCAGCTATGCCCCTTAGAAACCAGTTCTTCCTTCTCCTAGATCCCATAAAAAGAATCTCCACACAGTAACCAGGAGCCCTTGAATCCTCTCACTGAAGAAGCTGGCTGCTCGCTGACAGCAGATCTGACTTGAACTTTTGCTTAGCTAATAAGATTTGCTATTTCTCTGTTTGTGTTTCTTCAATTAAAAAAAAAATGCTGGGGCTAGAAAGATGGTTCAGTGGTTAAGAGCACTGGCTGCTCTTGCAGAAGACCCTGGTTCAGTTCCCAGCACCCACATGGTGGCTAACAACCATCTTTAACTCCAGTTCCAGGGGATCCAGTGCTCTCTTCTGACCTCCAAAGGCATTGCACAACATGGGTGCACTTATGTACATGCAGGCAATACACTCATTCACATAAAATAAAAATTAAGCCGGGTGTGGTGGTGCACACCTGTAGTCCCAGCACTTGGGAGGCAGAGGCGGCGGATCTCTGTGAGTTTAAGACCAGCCTGGTCTACATAGTGAGTTCCAGGACAGGTGGGACTACAGGGAGACCCTGTCTCAAAAAAGACCAAAAAAAAAAAAAAAAAAAAAAAAAAAAAAAAAAAATGCTGGCATGATGGCACAGGGTTATAATACCAGTGCTGGATGACAGAGACAGGAGGATCCCGAGGGCTTGCTGGCCAGCCAGTGTGGCCTAATTGGTGAGCTACAGGCCAATGAGAGGCTCCATCTCAAAGAAGGTGGGCGGTGCTCTAGAGGATGGCACCCATGGGCACCCTTTTGGACTCTACACACACACACACACACACACACACACACAAAGCAGTGGGTGATGAAGCAGAGGCCAGCTTACCTTGTGTATGGCGTTGAGTAGTGGCGAGAAGAGGTCAGTGTCGTAGGTGGACCGTCTGCCCTGCAGTACAGCTACCAGCCTTTCCAGGCCCATTCCTGTGTCTACATGCCGCTGGGGCAGAGGCTGCAGGCTTCCATCTGCCTCCCTGGCCAGAAAAGGTGTACAAAGTGAGGCTGACTGAGAATGGCAGGTGTGAGGCAGATGCCCAAGTTCAGAGAAGAGGAGGAGCCCTAAGCTGAGGGTAGTGCCCCCTTCTTCTTCCCACCCAATGACAGATGATGAAGGCCTTGTGTTCTGACCCTTCTCAAAAAGGTTAACTCTTCTCAGCCCCGCTTGGGCTCTTGCCTGGGCCCAGACATGCCCATTAAGGCAGAATTCTTTGTCCTTAGAGAGAGACATGTCAAGATTGGAAGAAAGTCTTAAGAGATTACCAAGTTCAACTCCATTATATAATAAGGGCGAGAGAGTAGCATTAACTAGTTCACACTATCACAGGCAAGGACTATTATCACAAAGTGCTTACAAATGTACCTGGCACATACTGGCCACCTTCTTCACTTTAAGTCAGGAATTCTTCTACCTCAGCCCCCATTACCTGTTGTGTTGCATGAAGACTAGATTCCAAAGCTCCACCAGTTGGGGGGCTCCCATCCCACCAGCCAGGTCATAGTGGATCTCAGTACAGGGTCCACAAGGTCCGGTGTCACCCATCTCCCAGAAGTTCTCTTGTGATCCGAAGGAAAGTACCCGGCTGGCAGGAACCCTGGGAGAAAGCTAGGTGAGTGGTGGGAGATGGGTAGATTCAGAAGCTGCACCCCCCCTTCCCCCCAGCTATGAGAGCTTCTCACCCAAGTCTAGCTCAGTAAGAGGGGGCTGAGGGCTAACACACAGCATCCTGGGGCTTGCTGACCTCTGAGGATTTGTGCTGGTAGTCTGTTTGCCAGGAGTAGACAGAAGAAGGGGGCTGACTTACCCTAAGCTAAGCCAGATGTCTCTGCTCTCCAGGTCTGGGTCCAGGCCTGCTTTGGAATCACCACCAAAGTAGGAGACCCATAATCTGTCCTTGGGGATCCCATAGACTTGAGTCAGCAGTTCCCAGGCCATGCCACAAGCTTCTTCCTGCAGGGGAACCAACATGAGGGTGGAGAGGACGGAGGAGAGATGTAGGCCACATTGATGTGCCAGTCAGGTCACCTGAGTTCATGAGGCCAAGAAAAAAACCTTTCCCACTGCCCACTCTGTTCCCAGACTAAGCCATGTCCCTTTCCGTCTTGAGGTTTTTCTGGTCCAGAAAGTGTCTCCATTCTTCTAAAGCCTACATTCTTTCCAGTCCCAGATGAATGCTGTCTTTCCCATAAACTTCTCTACTCACCCTAACCTGGGGTGACTATCTCTAATGAGCATCTCAGCCTTGCTGTCTGGCTATTTGTTCATAGAATATACACATATACATATATATGATATATGTATGGCAGGGTCTCACTGTGTAGCCTTGGCTGACCAGGCTAGTCTCAAACACACAGAGATCTACCTGCCTCTGCTTCACATAATTGGCCAACCTATTCATATAACTTTTTACCAGCTATTGGGCAGAAGACACAGACCCTTCCCTCAATTAGGGAAGTAAGACATATTCCTATTACACATCTTTGTGTGTGTGTACATATATGTGTGTTAGTGAATGTGAATACATCTGTGGATGTGGGTATGTATGTGTGGAGGTCAGAGGACAACTGTGAGTGATGGTATTTAGGGTCTTCCATCTTTTGTCTGGGATAGCATCTCTCATTGGCTTAGAACTTTGCCATGTAGACCAGGCTAGCTGGCCCCTGAGCTTCTAGGGATCTTCCTGTGTCTGCCTCACATCTCACAGCTCTGGGATTATAGGCCCACACCACTGCACCTAGCTTTTTTTGGTCTTTTTGAGACAGGGTCTCCCTATAGTCACAGCTGGCCTGGAACTTGCTATGTAGACAAGGCTGCCTCAGTCTTACAGAGATTTACCTGCCTGTCTCCTGAATGCTGGGACTAAAGGCATGCACCACCACACCCAGCTGTACCCAGCTTTTTATGTGAGTTCTGAGAATCCACATCCACTTTACCAACTAAACCATCTCCCTCCTTCCCAACTCCCATCATCCATCCATCCATCCATCCATCCATCCATCCATCCTATGTAGCACTTGGCTTCTGTACCCAGCCTGAGAGTAGCCTAAGCAGAGAGGAAGTAGAGAAAGGATTGGTCTTGACCCCCTTCTTGGATGACCACTAACTCTTTCTTAACTCTAGAGCTCCCTGAAAACTCACCTTAAAATATTCATCCCCAAAAGCCCAATTGCCAAGCATCTCAAAGAAGGTATGATGGGAGAGATCTCGGCCTACATCCTCCAGGTCATTGTGGCGTCCTCCAGCCCTCACACACTTCTGGCTGTTAGCTACACGTCGGAAGCCTGCCATCTCACTTCGTGGATCCACCGTGCCCAGGAAGATGGGCTTGAACTAGAAGCACATAAAGTGTGTGTGTGAGTACTTCAGTTCCCCAATAGAAGGCAAAAGTAGGGAGTTGAGATGGTTTTTCAGATTGAAGGCTGACTGTGGCTGAGTGCAATGTGATCTTGGCCCAGCACATCCTGGAAGCCCGGGCAGCCATTTCTGGTGCATATATGTGAGGCAGAGAAGAGGTAAATAAACCCAAACCGGATACTTTTACATAGTAAAAAGTAGTAAAATTTGCATATAGGAAATTTGCATATTTGATTAGGCAGAGTCATTACCAGCAGCATTACACAGCAGGCAGTCAATAAATGCTTACTAATGGATGAGTTACATTTATTTAAAGAATTCTTTTCTTGTTTTGGGGAAACTCTACGCCTGCAGTTCGGGGACCATAAACTTAATTTCCAAGTCGACTCCCCAAACCCTAACTGGCCTTGAGCCCCGCCCCCAATCATTTTACCCAATCACATGCAGCCTGTCTTTCCACAAAAGCTATGAGCTCCGCCGCTCACTCCTTTGGCCCAATCCTGAAGCGTCTTTCCCGGACAAACTCCCGAGCTCCGCCCCCGATCAGTGTGGCTCCGCCCTCACCTGGTTCATGCCCGCATTGACGAAAAGGAGGCTGGGGTCGCCGCGGGGCCTCACGGAAGCGGAGGGCACCAGGCGGTGGCCATGGCGGTCCCGGAAGAAGCTCAGGAAGGCGTCCCGCACGGCCGATCCATGGAGTGGAGGGGACTCGGTTGAGAACGGCTGACGGCTGGGGCCTTGCCATGGGCACGACCTTTTAATGGCCCGCTGCAAGCACCCGGCCGCAGCAGCCACCGCCGCCGCCATCTTAGCTCCGGGCAGCAGCTTCACCGGGTCCAAGAGTGACGTGTGAACAGAAGCCGTGTTTCCTACAGCGATCCCTGGCTGCTGGAAGACTTAAGAGCAGCTTTTGTTTCCGAGTAGACAAGTGATTGGGAAAGAAGGGGACGCCGCCAGCAGATGGCTTAACACATCACTTTGCACATAGTATGCCCTTAATTCATCTAGCATTAAACAGATATTCATAAAAGCCCATTATATGCGAGGTGTTATTTTGTATGTTAGGAAGAAAATTGAAAAAATGCCTGGGTCTCCAAAAGTCTGTAATGGTTGCTACGTTAATGATTTTGCAAGGTTTGCACGTCCCCGGGGTTGCAGTGAACAGGTGTAGATGCAGTTCTGTGTGTGAGTCATGTGCTTTGTGTTTTTCCAGGCCAAGGAAAAATGGGAGAGAGTGCCAAGGGAACATGGACATTCAAGAGGTGGTCAACAATTATTGAACGCTACTTAAGAGCCAGGCATTGTTCTAGAACCTGGCCTTCCCTCTGTCCTTGGTTTTGGAGACGCCCACTTTGTCCTTAGGGACCGAAGCAGGCTCTTTGGAGCAGGAGTCTGGCTGAGACATAGAAGCCGAATGGCATTTGCTCCATTATTAATTGCTTAATAACATTTCATCTTTTAATTTGCCTGGGGATGATAGAATCCAGGTCGCCAGGTCAGGACAAAGCTGTTGGGTGAAAGCTGCAGGGATCGCTCTCCATAAGCCTCCCAACGCCAAGAGGTTTTGTGTGTTTTGCTGAGGGTAAGAGACACCTGTCCCACCTGCTCGCCTCTGTTATGCAAAAGTCGAAGCCCCTTCACACCGGACAGCTCATGCAGCTCGGGGAATGTGCTGCGGGCTCCTTTTCATAGCAAGGTGCTTTCTGGCATCTTTCCTGTCTCTCCCTTTGAAGTGGCCGCCACAGATGCCTTGACATAAACATGGCCTTTGGCTCTATGCATACCATGCCTTCCTGTGTGTGATTTTTACAGGTAGACAATAGTCTAGCAGAAACCCACTTCCACATGTAAATAGAATATCTCACAAAGTATCTAAAAGCTTTTACCACTACCCCCATGGTATATAAATATGCTAGTCTTCTCTTAATAGTCGGAGATCAGGCCAGGGACCCGGAGATCAGGCCAGAGACTGGGAGATCAGGTGAGAGACTGGGTCCCAGAAAGCTGGATCAGCAGAGCGCTGGACAGCAAGGACAATAAAGCAGTAAACACAGACTAAGCCGTGCCTTGAGTCCTGTGTCTTACTACCGGCGACCTGATCTCACCGGAGAGCAGCACTCTCCGTTACCGACCCACGGATATCCTAGCTTTCGCCGCCTCCGTGTTTCTTCCCTGTGGAGTTCACTGGCCAGGACTCCGCAATCCTGAGGAAGGGCATAAGGGTGTAATAGAGGCGGAATCCCGACTAGATAATACTCTAGTAGCAGAAGAAGCTCTCCGCTCCAGAGAAGTGTGTAGCTATCAGCTACAGCCAGCATCAGAGAAGTCTTTACACCTGCCGTCTCCAGAGAGGCGCAGCCGGCCAGGCCCGCCAGCCGCTAGCTAGCCAGCGGGACCAGAACCACGGCGGGAGAGTGCACGCACACCTGACCCTGGGCCACATCCAGAGTGAATGCGCCCGGGAGCCCAGGCGCGCTCCCCACATCGCCTGCAGCCAGACTCACGCCGGGATTAGCCAGGTGTGGCGGAGACCCCAGGGTGCCCGCACACACCACGCCGGGGGTCAAGCGACACGCACCATACTGTCCCACCTGCTCTTTGACTTCCTGTTGGTAAACAACTGCCTTTGAAGCCCGCAGGCCTTGTGGGTATTGCTAGATGGCTCTGGTTCGTCTCCCTTTTGTCTGGGAAACTTAGATCTGGAGAGAGAAGGGGATTTGCCAAGGGTAAGGCCCAGTAGAAGCAACAAACTGAGCTTAGAGTGGTCACAGAGAAGGCCCTGCCCGTGCAAGGGCTCTTTTGGCTGTCAGTCTTTGTGTGTTAAATTATATGGGTCTTTTGACGCATCGCTTCCTTGGGGAACTGTACAGTCTATTTTGGACTTGGGTTTCTATAGCAATATGAATTCTACGGACTTCATTGTATCTATCCCACAGCCCTCCGTGCCCCCCCCCCCGTTTATATAGGTTAAAGATGTTTTGGAAGTGTGTTTTGCCTATTTTGTTTTTTCAGTATTTTTGGAACAGGAACTTAGAACCAGATGGGGATTTCTGAGGTTGATAACCTTGAGAAAAGACTCTCAAATTCCTTCCCAAACTCAGGTGGCACTGTTTTGCCAGATAATGTAGTGGCTCTTCCACCCAATATGATGTCAACTTTTTCTGATTTTTCCCAGCATCTTTGTGCTTTTAGACTAACTTGGATCTAGGGTGGTGCCATGAATTTTTTAAAAAATAGCTTTATTAAAAGAAAAAATATAAAAATAACTGTTTTTGGGCTGAGGATGTAGCTCAATTAGTAGAATGCTTGCTTAGCATTTATGAGGCCCTGGGTTCGATTACCAGTACTGCATAAACTGGGTATTGGTTGTACTTACCTGTAATCCCAGCACTCCAGATCATCATTGGCTACACAGGGAGTTTGAGGTCACCCTGGGCTAGGGATCCTGTCTCAACAACAAACAAAACCCAATTTTATTAAAGTTAAGGACTGAAGTGATGACTCAGCAGGCAAAGTGCTTGTCATGCACGTGTGAGGACTGAGATTTGAATTCCCAGAAGCCGTGTAAAGCCAGGCATGGTGGAGCACATCTGAAATACCAATGTTCCTCTATTGAGATAGGTGGGGATAAAAACACAGGAAACTCATGGACTAGATAGAGCTGTGAATGCAGCAGGACCAGAAGAGAGGCCCTGTCTCAAGGTGGGAAATGAGGACTGACATCTGCAGTTGTCCTCTGACCTCCACATGCCTGCATTCATAGTCATACAGGCATGTACACACACAGACACACACATAGACACAGGAAACTTACATGGCATACGTACAGTTCACTTATTTAAACTGTACAAAGCTTTTAGCATGTTCATATCCATCACTAAAGTCACTTCCAGAATATTATGCTTACCCCAGAAACAAATCTTGCACCCTCAATCCCTCCGAACCCCAGACAACTATTGATCAAATGTTTGTCTTTATATAGATTGGCCTATTGTGGACATTTCATATAGATGGCTTCCTAGGACATACGGCCTTTTGTGGCTGTTTTCTTAATGTTTTCTGGGTTTATCCATGTGGTGGCCTGTATCATGGATTTAAAATTTTTTTTTTTTGGTCTTTTTGAGACAGGGTCTCCTTGTAGCCCCAGCTGTCCTGGAACTCACTATGAAGACCAGGCTGGTCTTGAACTCACAGAGCTCCCCCTGCCTCTGCCTCCCAAGTGCTGGGATTAAAGGTGTGTGCCACCACGCCCAGTCTGGATTTTACTTTTTATTTATTTTTAATTTTTACATATTTACTTATCTATTTACTCTAATTTTATGTGTATGAGTGTTTTGTCCACATTTGTGTACATGTACCACATGTGTGCAATGCCCAAGGAGGCCAGAAGAGGACATCCGATCCCTTGGAGTTACAGATGGTTGTCAGCTGCCACAATGTCGGTGCTGAGAACTGAACCCAGATCTTTGGGGAAAACAGCCAGTGCTCTTAACCACTGAGCCATCTCTCCAGCCCCTATTTGTTTATTTTTATTTGATGTGTATGAATGTTTTGCCTACATATATGTAAGTACACCCATGTATGCAGTGCCTGCAGAGGCCAGAAGAGGACGTCTGATCCCCTGGAACTGGAGTTATGGATGGTTATGAGCTGCCATGTGGGTGCTGGGAACAGAACCTGAGTCCCCTAGAAGAGCAGTCAGTGCTCTTAACTGCTGAACCATCTTGCCACACCCATATCATGGATTTTTAGAAGTGCATTTTTTTGCAGGCTGGAGAAATTGCTTAGTAGTTAAGAGCACTTGATGATCTTGCAGAGGACTTTGGTTTGGTTTCTAGCACCCACATGGCAGCTCACAAACATCTATAACCCCAGTTCCAGGGCATCTGATACCTGCTTCTGGCCTCTTCGGGCTCTGCATTCACATGATGTACTTTCATATACACAGGCAATCACTCATACACATAAAATAATAAATCTTGGGTCTGGAGAGATGGTTCAGGGGTTAAGAACACTTACTGCTCTTGCAGAGAACCTGACTTCAGTTCCCAGCACCTACATGGCAGCTAGCACCCATCCTTAACTCCAGATCCAGGGATCTGATGCGCTCTTCTGACCTCTGCAGGAACCAGGGGCACACGTGGTACATACATGTCAGCAAAACACTCATACACATAAAAATAAATAAGTAAATGAAAATTTAAAAATAATAAATCTTTTTAAAAACTTTAAAAATGCATTTTTAGTTGTTTCTATTTGAAATAGGTTTCCTCTCTTATTATTTCATTCTTGCTGTTAAAAAGTATAATTCTCTTTAAATGTCTTCTTAGGTGAGTTATTTCTGGGTAGTATTCCCTGGTGAAGTGAAGTGGTTGGTGTAGGGCTGGGAATGGAGCTGTCCTGACTTGCCACTGTCACCTGATGAGGAAGTTAAACTGAAGGTCTGAAGTTTCCCAAGATAGCTAGAGGTGGGAGAGCTTGTCAGACAGGGAGGTTACTGGCCTGGGAATGTCTCCCAGGAGAACTGGTCTACTGAGAGAGAACTGGTCCACTGTCTTAGTATTTGTAGGGATTTCACCTCGCAAAGAAGTTTGAAATGCAAATGCAGTCTGTTTTCTGATTGTTCCTCAGCTGAGGCTTCAGGAGCAGTATGCTGGGGGCCCCCTGCATAGGTTAGTAGAGAGAGTGGTGCTTTTTCTTCTTGAGGCCCAGAACTTCTCATTGGTTTCCATCTGACCTACTTTTCTTGGAAGATCCAGAGCACTCATTGTTTGACACCTGTCCTTTCTATTTCACCTTGTTTAAAAGATGCCATGCCTTTATTATGGGAGTAGAAATTGTCCTTTCTTTAAATTTTTTATGTGTATGAGTGCTTTGCCTGCCTGTTTTAAGTGCACCTCTTCATGCAGTGCCAGTGGAGGCCAGAAGAGAGCATCATATCCTCTGGAACTGGAATTATGGATGGTTGTTAGCCACCATATGGGTGCTAGGAACCTAACCCTGGTCTGCAAGAGCAGCCAGTGCTCTTA